CTCAGTGAAGCGTCGCTGACGTTGGAACCGAACCTGGTCACGTGAAATTCAGTCCATGGCACAATCCTTGTGTTGCTAGGGCCACAGCCCACTTCTCCTCACACTGCTGGCACTAAAGGCAAATATTCAAGGTGGAAGCGGTCTGGCTGATTCCATCTAGCCACGGTATGTATTACAGGTGAAATTCAGTCCATGGCACAATCCTTGTGTTGCTAGGGCCACAGCCCACTTCTCCTCACACTGCTGGCACTAAAGGCAAATATTCAAGGTGGAAGCGGTCTGGCTGATTCCATCTAGCCACGGTATGTATTAATAGAGCCCTGCAAATCCACAGCTAGCTGCAGCTCATTTTTGCAGATACAAATGTTGTATCTAGGACCCTGCGATTTGACAGATATCCACCGAGGTCAGTGCAGACACAGATGCAAATTTGGTACCCGGGTAGGCTCTACCTACTAACGTAGTCAACTCAAACCTTGTCCAGAAGCCAAAAGTGGCAAATCCTAACCCTGGGCTTTAAAGCCCTGCACATCTGAAGATCGATATCAAGCAGAAGGGATTTCCAGGGTCTGTGGTCACAAGACAGGCATAAGGCAGCCCTAGGAAACAGCCCTTGTAAAGATGAGCCTGATGTGGCCTATTCTGAACCCCTGTTCGTAGATGTGGCTGTTGGAGGCCTGCTCTCAGGAAAGGATTTACCAGACCTCTTCCCCAGCAGCTCATAGGGATAAGTGCAGGGACCGGGGGTACAAGTGAGCACAGCTCTGAAAGCTCCCTTAGAACATAAGAATGTCCAGACTGGGTCAGACCAAAGGTCCATCCAGCCCAGCATCCTGTCGGCCGACAGTGGTCAATGCCAGGTGTCCCAGAGGAGTGAATCGAACAGGTAATGATCAAGCGATCTCTCTCCTGCCATCCATCCCACCCTCTGACAGAGGCTGGGGACACCATTCCTTACCCATCCTGGCTAATAGCTATTGGAGGACTTAACCTCCATGAATTTATCTAGTTCTCTTTTAAACCCTGTTATAGTCCTAGCCTTCACAGTCTCCTCAGGCAAGGAGTTCCACAGCTTGACTACGCACTGTGTGAAGAACTTCCTTTTGTTTTAAAACTGCTGCCCATTAATTTCATTTGGTGGCCCCTAGTTCTTATATTTTGGGAACAAGTAAATAATTTTTCCTTATTCACTTTTTCCACACCACTCATGATTTTATAGACCTCTATCATATCCCTGCTTAGTCTTGTCCAAGCTGAAAAGTACTGGTCTATTTAATCTCTCCCCCATGGGACCCCCTTCCAAACCTCTAATCATTTAGTTGCCCTTCTCTGAATCTTTTCTAATGCCAGTATGTCTTTTTTGAGATGAGACCACATCTGCATGCAGTATTCCAGATGTGGGTGTATCATGGATTTGTATAAGGGCAATAAGATATTCTCCGTCCTATTCTCTCTTTTTTAATGATTCCTAACATTGTTTGCTTTTTAGACTGTCACTGCACATGGCGTGGACGTCTTCAGAGAACTATCCACCGTGACTCCACGATTTCTTTCCTGATCAGTTGGGAGCTAAATTAGCCCCCACCATATTGTACGTACAGTTGGGGTTATTTTTTCTCTTGGCCTTTATGGGGATGTAGTTGCCCCAGGCTAGGCAAGCACAGCCACTTTCCCCACCCTGAGCCCTTGCATAAGGCTCAGCACATGCCCATCCCTGAATCACTTCTCTCCCACCACCCATACTCTACCACGAATGCACTACAATGCATGGCAGGTTCTCAGGCTGCTGGTTTTTAAAAAGGAGCATCTGCCTGTGGCTCAGCTCGCAGGCGCTAGCACAAGGAATGTTCTCTCCACCCAGCCGCCCTCTCCCTTTCATAAGAAAAATCTTTACTCCAGCAGGCACGTTTCCCCAGCCCTGGCGCCTGCATGGTGTTCAGTGTAGGGACCACACCCTGCACGGAGGAGCACAGGAAAGTCAGCTGGCTCATCTTCAAACTAAATCCAGCACTTTGGGCCATACCTATGTAGAAGCGCAGTGCACCTGTAGAAAGCAGGATGTGGGTGGGGTTCTGCAGAGATTCAGCTCCAAGATAAACGTTCAGAAACCATTTCTGTTGAGATTAGCATTCTGCCAGCTTGCACAAACAGCTGGGCTGTGATTACCCTTGAGAAACCTCTAGTCTGCAGCTGTTCTTAGCACCTAGTGAGAATTGCTATCACCTGCCAACACCACCGCATCTGCAAAAGTCTTTATTTTTAAACAGCCTACAGCTGAGGACAGGTTTGACTTCAGACTAGTCACACCTGAGTGGGAGTGTGGACGTGGCATTGCCTCTGGCTGGTGCCACGTGTGGGAGAGGTACGGTACTTTCCTAGATTTACAAGTGTTAGAAGGGGCTCCCACAAAAAGCTTCTCTTTACACATTCCTGTCTTCCACCCATCAGTGTAGCACGGTGCTTCTAGCCAACAACCAGCCAAACTGACTCACGTAGTAGCAGGATCTCAGCTGACTGGGGCAATAAGAGTGAGGGGAGGAATATTGATCAAGTTTATTTATTCCTCCCTGCATCTGGATCCGTGCAGTAGGGGGTCCCTAGTCAAATAAGCCCAGATTGACTGAACTGCTGACGGCCGGCCACGAGGAGTACGCTAGCAGGGCACTAGGCTCAAGATGCAAGTGCCCAGGGGAGGAGAGGGCTGGTACGGCATTCAGGCTGCAGGGAAGTGAAAGCAGTAGCAAAGGGAGCAGCCTAGCGTTCCATGAGGCAGCCAGCTTTCCTTCCATCCTGCGTCTCCGTGGCCTGGTCTTGTTGCACAATTCAAAGAGCTCGTTATGAGCCAAGTGCAGCAGGGCCCTTGTCATCTCTCGAAACCAGGGCACCACCTGATAGAGGTTACTATGAGCAGGACTACACCAGGCCCCACAGATTAGAAAAAACTGCTATTCCCAGGACAGCGCATCTGCAGCCAAGCTCCCTGAACACAGGGCTACGCAACACTGGAAGCCCCCAGAGCCACAATGACACTCTCAGCACATGCTGAGGGCTACAACTTAAGGATGGTTGCATGTATGTATGCAAATAGCTTTTCCCACAATGCCCCAGCGCTCCCGGCCCTGGGGGCTAGAAATGCCAACACCCTGTACCTGTCTGCTCACGTCTTTCATGCTCACCCCACCCAGGAGACACCTTACCGTGTGTAGCATGTTCCCAATGGAGGCCATGTCCACAGGATCCTTCCCCTGGGCTGAATGTTGAGTAGCCCTGCTCTAATCTCTTCCATCCATGCATGGAATAACTATGTGCACCAAAGCATGTGAGAATGTGCACCACCAGTATAAACAAAGCCTGGGTGTGGAAGCTCTGCTAATCAGCAGGCTGTCATGGGAGTTGCTGGAGCAGCTGCACAGATGCATAACAGAGCACCGATGGCCAGGTGAGTCCCTGGTGCCCAGTTACTCTTCCCACACAGCTCAGCTTGGCTGACCCCCCTTCCTCCGGAGGCTGCAGCAGGGCAAGTGTGCAGCCGAGGGTGGTATGTGGGCAGGCTGCAGCTGGGGTCAGGCAGTGGTGGTGTGAATGCAGGTGTCTAAGCCAGCAGAAGTGCATGCTTAAGGCTACTTGGCACTTGAGTTTACAGATTGCCCCTCGGCCCCCCCAACACAGGGTTTTGGTATTGCCCCAGAAGACGCAGGAGCTGGAACTCATCGTGATGGTCCCCCCAATATTAATCCTGATGTAAGGAACAGCTGGGCTGAGGGGCTCAGGCGTCCCGGGAAGCATGGGGCCTTGTTCACTGCCCTTTCCACTAAAGTCTGACGCGCTCCGAGCTGAGGTACAGGAGCCTGCTTGGCTCCCAGGCTCTGCGCTCCCAGCTCACTGGGAAAATGGCTACCTGGCCTCCTGCATGTCTGCTCCTGCTTTCAATAAGCTGAGCTGCCCCCAGCACCCAGGGAGCCACGACCAACTACAGGGAGTCCCCAGGAAGTAGGTTGTTGTGCAGCAGGATGAAGCAGAGTTTACGTACGTGGGCGTTTTCCTCCCAGCTGGCTGCACTTCCTCTCCACAGCCCGATTTAGAAGCTGGATTCAGATGGCTAAGATGAGCACACAACTAATATTAGAGAGAAGCAATTTTAACACTAGCAGCTGAAACAGCATGGCTAGAAACAGCACGTCCTAAGCCTCAAGGCACTGCAAGGACTACTTGAGGTGCAACACACTAGCCAGGCTCTGGCACAGCCTATGCTCAGACGTGGAGCTGTGGCACAGCTAGTTGAGTGTGGTAAATACCGAACCCCGCTTTGTGTGCCAGCATGGGGCCGGCCAACCCACATTCTAAGCTGAAGGTCCAAGTTTCAGCAGCTAGAAGCCAATAGCTGCAGAAAATGTAGTCTCAGCATCTGTTGATCCAAGCAGCCAGAGACTCCGGATGAGTAGATACACTCAATCTGCAAAGAAAGCAAGAAGGCGCTTTGGGTGCCTGGAATTATTATTATTTTACTGTCAACACCAAGATCTGCAAAAAACTCCGAACACAAGACAAGAAAACTCCAAAGCGAACACTCCTCCTTTAAGCTTCGCAACACATACATAAAATACAAACGTCAAACAGCTGCAAAAATAGTGTCTTTGGAAGAAAATAGAGTTTCTACATCAGATACAAGAAAATAGGGTTCTTCAGTACACCCAGAGCCTTAGCAACAGAACAAGTCAAATACTTCCCTTTTCCAGAGCCATTACAGCTGGAGGTCTCCAGCTTCTAGTTTCACTTTATAAGGCTTTGTGCTGGGATAGCATTGCTGGGTCTCAGGATCTGACTCCTGCCCAGTTCTTACATCTATGAATAAAGTTTTTCTGCAGACACAAAAAATGGTTCTGATCCCCCAACTCCACCCCTGCACATGCAAAAATTACCAGATGCAGTCAGGTCATCCACGGCATTCGGCTGGAAAGCAGCATGTAACATCCCTACTAGCAGCAACCTTCCACAATCAGTGGAACCCTTTCATATGCAGCTCTGACTCCGATTGCCAACTCCTTCCCCTGCAAAGAGGCGGTGGTAGGAGAGGCCCTTCGCTACCTACCTACCACGCCTTGCAAACTGCTCTTCACAGCAGCTCCTCTCCCCATGGTCATCCTCGGCTGGGTAAGATGCTTCCCAGGACAGACCCTCTGCAAACAGAGGCCTCTAAAAAGGCCCGACAGGCATCAGATCTGCAGTCTAGCTTGGGACAGCAAGGCATCCCCAGGGGCTACTGAAAGCGCCACGTGGCTCTCTCAAAGGGTTACGATATCCTACGACTGGCCAGTTCCCTTCCTAACCCTCCCGTCTGGCTCATCGGTTCTGGGTGCTCCGAGCAGCTCAAGCTGCCAGCGACAGAGTGCAGATGCCTCGGCAGATGTGGCCCAGTACATTCGGGCAGCTGGAACCAGCTCTGCCGGCTTCTACCAGCTTCTCCAGGAGGCAGCCACAGGACTGGCCTGCCTCTCCCAGGAGCAGGAAGGCCACGTGGGGAGAAGTGTCCCCGGAATTCCCAGGGCAGAGCCAGGTGGCTGAGTCCCAGCTGCTGTTCGACAAACGATGACATTTCGACCCAGGAAAGTGCTGGGGCCCCGCAGGAAGGAGCCGCTCCAGCAGCAAGTCCCGTGGCACGTGGCGCTGAACGTTCTGGAGGAAACTGGCTGTGGGTTTCAATCCCAGGGCCGCCCATCCGGCCCTGAGGTCCCAAGTTACTCCAAGGCCCCACAAGCTGGGGAAGATGCACCCAAGATCCACAGATGCGCCGCCGTGCTGGGCCTCCCGCTGGCCTCAGACCACAAGGGAGCTGTGGAAGAGGACGGTCTCTTCTGTCTGGCTGCGCTTCCAGTGCTCAAAGGTCAGTGGAGGGGATTTAGAGCCCTCGCTGAAGCCGTCTACCGCCGAGTCTTTCCGCGGCCCAAGGAACGGGCCTGGGGCAGTGGACTGGCAGGAGGGGCATGTGCCCGGGGCCACAGGGCTTGGAGGAGCAGGGAAGTTCCTGAATAGGAAGCCCATGTTCGGAAAAAGGGGCTTTGCTAGACTGACTGGACAGAAGGCAGAGCCGGTCGGGTTGAAGTGGACTTTGTTCTTATCAGGACAGGAGGGCAGAAAATTCTGCTCAGAGCTGGGGGAGCTGACGGAGGGAGAGAGAAAGGAAACGGGTTAGAACGGCGCTCCGAGTTCAAGCAATTGCGGCTGTAGCAGCACATGCCGTGTGTTTGGGGGAGGCTGCCGACTGCTGGAACCCTTTGCAAGCTGACCACTGCCCGGCAGGAAAGACCTGGGACAGGCCGTTTCGTGTGCAGAAAGCCAAGGGAAGCACTCAGCCAGCAACACCGGAGTGGTGAGGCTGGGCAGACAAGACTCTAGGGCAGGTCTATCAATAGAGATCGATTTCTCTGCATCACTCAGGGCTGCGAAAAACCCACGCCTGAGCACTGCCGTTCCGGCTTATCCCCTGGTGCAGGCAGCACTAGAAAGGGGTCTCCCCTCGACAGACTCCACCTCCACAGGAGGCGTCTGTGTAGCAGCAGCTCCACTGAGGTGTCACTGCGGTGCAGTGCTAAGCACAGGCCTGCCCCGAGAAAGGAGACCTGTGTTGCACTTGGCTTCCTGCTTGCCCTCCCTAGAGTTCTCACCTCAACCACTGAGCGGAGGCCGGCGGAAAGGAAGGAGGCTGACGGAGAACCAGCAGGCCCCCCTTCCTGCCCAGCCTGCTGGGCGTGGGGAGACTGTTTAACAGGTGTCCAGAGGGCCTGCTGGCTCGGTAAGCCAAGTGCGTGTGCATGTGGTGGGAACCCGTCGCCCTCACAGCAGCATCCTGCCGGGCCAGCAGCATGCGGGTTCCCTGCTTCCGCACCCTTCCCAAGGGCCGCTGCCCCAGTCCCGGCCATGCTAGGTGCACTTCCCTGGCCTCCAAGCAAGGGGGCTTGAGTGGCAGCCACGCAGCTCCCCTTGCCCCGCACTGTCCCGCCTCCCCTCAAGACACGGTCCTGCTCATACTTACGAAGCCTCTTCGAAGGCCCGGACTTTCTCGCAGCCCTCGGGGGGCTCCCGTTTGAACATGTAGCTGTGGTTGGGTCGAGGAGAGGAGGCAAAGGCCAGGACTGGAGAGGGGCTCCCGTCCTCTAGCAGGGCAGGAAGACTCTGAGCGTATTCTAGAAGAGCCCAACAAAGCCCCCGTAAACACAGCACAGGAGAAGCTCCCCGGGCCCAGCAGTCAGGCACCAGCAGGGAGAATTCCCTTGTGACTGAGCAAAGACCTGCCCAGCAGAGCCCTTGTAACTCCAATCGGCCCCAGCACCCACCCAGGGACACCCCTCCCCCCAGGTCCTGGGTACCTGCTGGACTCCCACAATCCCAATCCTGGAGGTGGCGGGAGCAGGGCGGCACTGACAGGGTCACTGTTCACATCGCCACCCACAGCTCCCTGGGGTGTTGCCATTTACCCTTCTCCTTGGGGTGCGGCACCGGCTCTTCCAGGGCAGAGGGCAGCTCCTCAGCAGCTGCTCTGGCCGGGGTGTGCGGAGACGAGCGGAGTGGCACCGAAGGGGACGGAGACAGAGACAGGCTGCTGCAGCTGCTACTGCCGGGCTCCAGAGTCAGCAGAGAAAGATCCTCAGAGCCTCCCTGGGGAGGGGCTGGTGCCCTGTGGCCATCTGGCACATCCAGGATCTAGAGGGAGGGACGCTCATGAGAACCCCTCGGCCCCAGCCCCCTCGCTCGCAGGCAGACAACACACCCGTGGCACTTAGATCCCAGTTGACTGACTCAACCCAACAGGCCGGGGCCGATCCTAGACCCGCTCAGAACACATGGCGGTGCCAAATTAGAGCCATTTCTCCACCAGCCTTCAGACTAGCTCCTCTTGGCCAGTTTTAAGGCCACACGCCTTAGGAAACCGTTCGCTATTTATGCTGAAGCAACATCCAGCTGTTTAGGAAGGAGCACTGCAGAAAGGAGCTGGGGGTCTTTGTTGACTCACATTTAGCTTGTGTCCAGTGAGTGACCCTGCTGCAAAAAAAGCAAACCTGTCTGAGGTGCATTGACTGGAGTGTTGCGAGCAAGACACCAGGAGTCGTTCTTCCCCTCAGCTCCGCACTGATTAGGCCTCAGTGGGAGCATTGTGTCCGGTTCTGGGCATATTTCAGGAAAGACGTGGACAAGTCGGAGAGGGTCCAGAGAAGAGCAACAAGAACGATGAAAGGTCTAGAGAACACGAGCCATGTGGGAAGACAGAAAGAACTGGGCTTGTTTAGTTTGGAAGGGAGCAGACAGAGGGGACGTGATAGTGGTTTTCAAGTACCTGAAAGGGTGTTACAAGGAGGAAGGAGAAAAATTGTTCTCCCTGGCCTCTGAGTCTAGGCCAAGAAGCAATGGGCTTCAACTGCAGAAAAGGAGGTTGAGGCTGGACATTAGGAAAAACTTCCTAACTGTCAGGGTGGTTAAACACTGGAATAAATTGACAGAGGGGGGTTGTGGAATCTCCATCCCTGGAGACATTTAAGAGCAGGTTGGACAGACACCTGCCAGGGATGGCCTAGCTAGCTGATGCTTGGCCCTGCCATGAGGTCAGGGGACTGGATGCGATGACCTCTCGAGGTCCCTTCCAGCTCTAGTGTTCGAGGATTCTAATATCCTGATGGGGGCTTTGCTGGAAACAGAGCGCTGCTCTGAAGAGTTGATGTATTCTTAGACAAGCACCATGCAAATGGAGAGAGTCAGGGATGCACAGTCCCTTAGACTAGAATGGCAAATACAGTCCCTGTGATTTAAAGGGGACCAAAGAGGTCTCAATTACAGCGCTGTGCGTCTAACTTCCATGCTGAAAAGGTACTGGAACAAATTCTTACACTATCAGTTTGAGCGCCCCTAGAGGAGAAGGTTAAGAACAGAAGAGCAGCCAGACTGGGTCAGACCAAAGGTCCATCCAGCCCGGTATCCTGTCTGCCCACAGTAGCCAATGTCAGGTGTCCCAGAGGCAGTGAATCAAACAGGGAATGATCAAGCGATCTCTCTCCTGCCATCCATCCCACCCTCTGACAAACAGGCTAGGGACACCATTCCTTACCCATACTAGCTAATAGCCATTTATGGACTTAGCCTCCATGAATTTATCTAGTTCCCTTTTAAACCCTGTTCTAGTTCTAGCATTCAGAACCTCCTCAGGCAAGGAGTTCCACAGGTTGACTATGCACTGTGTGAAGAAGAGCTTCCTTTTATTTGTTTTAAATCTGCTGCCCATTAGTTTCATTTGGTTAATGTTAAGGACCATTTGTCAAGTAAGCCAGTCTAGTTTCCTTCTGTCACAGGGTTACTGGCTCAGTGGATGGGGAGAACCTGTAGTCGTGATGTTATCTGGATTTTACAGCCCCATGTGGTGTCTCTTAAGCACACCAGGGCCATGTGCTCTGGACCTTACTGAACGTTGGGTGCATAACTGACAAAGTCTGGAGTCAGAGCGGTTATCAACGCCTTGTGATCTGCTGTCAAGCTGGGAGGTTGCATGCAGTGGAGTCCCATGGGAGAGGGGCCTCAGTCCTGCACCTGGTACTAAATATTTTCATTAATAACGTGCACAGCACCAGGGGAGACACGGTTACAGAATCTGCAGGTGATGCCCTCGGATGCAGCTCCCACTGTGGAGGGTGGGTTAGAATCCCACGCCCCTCGGTGCTGGAGAGCTGGTCTAAGTAACAAGCCGGCTATTCTGCACTTGATGTTCCCCGTTTCCTTGGCAATTAGTGCAGGGGGCTGCACTTCGACTCAAGTCCCTTCCAGCCCGACACTTCTGGCTCCCCCTTCCCCCCGAGGGACGTAGCTCACCCTGAGAAGCTCCTCATCTCCTTGTTCCTTCACAAACACCTCCTCCAGCTCCTGGTTTAGTCCTTCCAGGCTCTTGTGTAAGCAGGGGTTAAGCCTCAAAATGGGAGATCCAGGAGGGAGTCCAGGAGGGGAGTCCTGTGACAACACAGAGCGTGAGACTGAGGCAGTCGTCATCTGCAGCCTCACAAGCCCCCCATATCTCCCCGCACAGCTGCATCCAGCCCACAGCTCTGCACTTCCAGCCAGGATGTTCTAGGAAGCCAGCTGACAGGAGAAGGCCCGGACAGGACGGGGGATTTCAACCCCATTGACTGCAGTCCAAAGCCTTCAGAGGTGCGTGGGGAAGAAGGGGTTGGGGGGGGGAGAAGGAGGCTTAAATGCTGGGTAGTCGAATTTAAACATCCAGAGCCACTTGGAAACGGGATTTGCAATCCAGGAGCAGGGCTGGACTGTGCCCCCCGCCTCCTTAGGATACATTGCAACACGGCCTGGGAAAACATACCCTGACTGATCCCAGGAGAGCGTGGTCCCCTGGCAGCGGGGAGCTCCGGTCCTTCTCTTTGCCACTTAGCTTCGTTCTCTGGAGCTGCTGCTTCAGTTTGGCAATCTAGCAAAGGAAATCAACACATGTTGAATTAGACGAGAAGAAAGAGCTCCCAAGCCAAAATCCGCCCTCCCCTCCCCTCCCCTCGTTCTCCCAGAGGAAGTTTCAAGACAGAGGGACAGTCAAGCTAGAACAAACCTTGGACATTTCAGAGGGCGGGGAGGAAATTACTCCCGAGGCGTAACCGTGAACTCCCCCGTTCTAGAACACTGCAGACAGCTTCCCCCTGCTACAAGTCCTGGAGTATCAGCCTTCCTTTTACACCCGCAGCTTTGAACCAGAGCTCCAAGGCTGGTGCTACGGCCCGGCCGCTCCACGCCATGCACTGAGCTAGTCAGCCCTTGCACAACAGGAGCTGGCTGGAGGAGGGACTGGCAGCTGGGGTGGGAAGAGCAAGCTGACCTGCAGTTTAAGATTTATGGACACAGGAGGACTATTGACTTAGGCCATGCAGCCCTTCAAACTAAGGGATAGGGAGTGCACATGGGAGCTTAGTGTCTCAGCTTCAGCTACACCCTCTTCCCCCACCTCTGAGCCAGCCGCAGAAGGGCCTGTTTACCTCTCTGCGGTGATCCATGCTACCCCAAGACGCGGAACGCTTGTGAGTACTGGCACTGGCCTTCCCCACTTCCGCTTCGTGCCAGGACGTCGGCGTCTGAAGAGAAGAGATTTATTAGGGTTGCACCCCCAAATTTACTGTCTCCTAGGCTGGGAGAAGGCCTCCTAGAAAGAGAAGTCAGCAAGACCTGTCCAGCCACACTAGATTCCAGTGGGTCTCAGCTCTGGGTAGAGCAGTTTGGGTTACAGTACCAGGCATGGCAAGACAGATTAGAAAAGAGTTGCACTTTAAAATACTCTGACCAAGCCAATGTTTGTCTGAACTTGTGGCTCTTTCAACTCATCAGAACACAAGAGCGGCCGTACAGGGTCAGACCAAAGGTCCATCTAGCCCAGTAGCCTGTCTGCCTACAGTGGCCAGCACCAGGTGCCCCAGAGAGGGTGGACCGAAGACAATGATCAAGCGATTTGTCTCCTGCCATCCCTCTCCAGCCTCTGACAAACAGAGGCCAGGGACACCATTTCTATCCCCTGGCTAATAGCCTTTTATGGACCTAACCTCCATGAAATTATCTAGCTTCTCTTTAAACTCTGTTATAGTCCTAGCCTTCACAGCCTCCTCTGGCAAGGAGTTCCACAGGTTGACTACATGCTGTGTGAAGAAGAACTTTCTTTTATTAGTTTTAAACCTGCTACCCATTAATTTCATTTGGTGTCCTCTAGATTTTCTATTATGGGAACTAATAAATAACTTTTCTCAAGCCTTTGTCTTTATCTCCTTGTCACGTGCTTGGAGATCAGTGATGAGTAATAATGGTATGGATAGACAGAGAAAGCAGATTGTACAAACAATCTCTCCTGCCTTCCACATGGATACAGTCAGCTGTGATGATGGGAGGGATTTATTTTCCATCTCTTTCTCTAACCTACCAGCATCAGCACAGCTCAGAGTAAATTGTTATGTCCAGATTGCTAGGCCAGATATTTCCCTCCCCAGCACACCCTCCAACTTCAATGAAGATCAAGTGGAAGTTCATGTGTGCAACCAAAAGCAGAAGTTGGCTGGAGTCTTGTATTGGTGCTGATGCATGAATGAGGCAAGAATCCAGCTGGACGCCGGTCCCTTTTGAGTCTGCAGGGTTGACAGGAAACTGAGCAAAGTTGAACTTATTGGGGGAGCAGAACTTCAGCACCATTTTACACAATGGGATTATCAAAGCAAGTCTGCCAGAAGCACAGAGGAGCCATTAGGATCAGAAAGGCGTCCCAAAGTACCTCATTTGAAATCCATCCCCAGTGGCTTTTCCCACCATCACATTAAACTCCTCATACGCTATCCATCCCAAGTCATTCCCCTCCCTGCCATCTCTGTAGGAGGGTTGGATGTTACTTTCCTCCTCAGTCCTCACTGGACATGCTGCCAGGAGGTTCAAGGGCCTGAGAACAGTTGCTCTCCAAGCAACTCCACTGACCTCCCTGGAGAGGTCATTGCAAAAACAGCAGCTGTTTTAAACAGCCCCATTGAGTCACGGAGGCTGCAGAACGCTCGCTACAGAAAACTGCTTAGAAGTTGCAGTTCTAAACCAGGGAAAATGCACAAGCTATCCAGAAAGGTACCAGGTTTCCTCTGGCAGATTACGCCCCATAACTGGATGCAGCTGCTTTGCAGTACTGCTCCAACTCTCACAGACCAGCAGGAGTTGAACTGGAGCCCTCAGGACACAGTCCTCTGGCAGCTGAGCAGTCTGCTTTTCTATGGACAAGTCTGATTTCAGCCAGCTGCACCTCTTTGGGGAGGCTGCAGTCCTTCTGCCTGATGTGGCTGGCGGATAGGAAGAGCAGTCATTACACCTCAAACATAAGCAAAGTCGTCTTGTGCTGGCAGGCTGGCCCCCGCTGCCCATTTCAAATACGCAGAGTTCTCATCCCTGCAATGCCTGAAGTTTGCTGCTACTTAGTGGTTTCCACGAGTACTAGTGTCTGTCAGATCAAAGCCTGAACGGCCCTGGGCATGGGGCTGACCTAACCTCACATTCACCACCCAGGTCAGAGCAGCAGTAATTCAGCTTCTGGAAATGCCGGCCATCTCCTGTCCTCATGAACCCACGTGAGAAGCATTTTACAACCTCCACTATCCCATTGGCCTGCCGAGGTGGTGTGGGGGAGGACTCCATTCCAAAGCTGCATTTGGCTCCCTTTTTCTTCCAGTCACTGGACTTCGCTCAGGATCACCTTGGCATGCTCCAGAGATCTACCCTGTCTCTGCACTCCTAGGGCTAAAGAACCACAGCGCCAGACCATTCAGCACTGCTTAAAGGGCTCATACCAGAGGAACAGAGCCTAAAAAGGAAGAACTAACCCTGCAGGAGTGAGAATGCCTGAAGAAAGAGCCTGCATGTGCCTCCTACCTCTGAGACCAAGTCTGTCAGCAGAGAAGGAAATTACAGAACCTGTTGTACTAACTGTGGCCAAAACCACTTCCCCTCAAAATGAGTGGGGACAAAATGCTTTGTGCAGCAAGCAAGATGAAACCACAATCTCCAATCATGTATTTTGCTACCATCCTCGCCCCCACACTGAGCACCTGCAGCTGCATCTCACTTAACCACCTTATGCGAGCAGAGCCACGGAGTTTTGCAAACAGCTGATCTGTAGCTATTTAAAGAAAGGTGTGAACATAACCCTGTCCCCAGAAGTTCCAGGGAGTCAGCTTCATTGTGCCTCAAGACACTGAAAAATTCAGTGTGACACATTGCAGATCTGCAGCAGAGATTGTCCTGCATCTCAGCAGAAGTTTGAATGAGATGACAGATGGAAAAACATGATCTGGATAAGGCACAGGACTGGCAGCTATGAAGCTTGGGTCCCAGTTCTGCCTACGTGGGATGGTATTCACCAGAGGGGTTTTAAACAGGTAAAACTAGGATTTTTAACCACCGCACAAAAAACTAGTCAGTCCCTGTTTAAGGCATTTTCTATTTTAAATCCAGATTAATGCACCCCACCTGACACTTCATGTTAGTTACATATGCAAATTGTGGTTACCTCAGGCAGCAGATTTGTAGACTTAGAGCTGCACAAGAGAAGTCAAATGGCAGTGGGAAGAAGTTAAGTACGCAATTACAGCCCTGAGCTGCGGAACGTCTACATTTTTGTTGGGTATTTTCTCAAGGAAGTTCTACAGGTCAGGACTCATCCAGTTTTCAGTGTTTGTATAAAAACACGTTCTAAACGTTGGAGTCTGAAAAGAGCCATGCAGAGCAGTAGGCTTGACACATTAAGCAATCAGGTGCACAGAGTTGCAACCTACCAGCCCAGGCCCACTCAGCAACGCAATGTTCTGTTCCAGTTCCGAATGGACATTTAAAAAGATCCATTCTGTGCTTGCTGATCTCGCTGGACACGGATACTGCCAGCCCTGTCAGGTTCCCAACTACACAACAGAAGTGGTGATCACCTGTTTCCGGAGTGCTGGGAGCTGTGTTTACTACGGTTTGGGAAGAGCTGTACTGTTACCTCACTGCCATAACTTGCCCTAGAGACTGCACTGGTTAAATCCACACTGGGAGCAGGGGGTCAAATGACCCTACCAGCATTTCATACAGTGGAGAGGGGGGCCTGAAAGCAGATTAAATGCCTAAAAAGATTAAGCTTTTAGCTGCAGATCCTGAACACTGGAGTTAAGTTTTACTGGGGCCCATATGCGTCTCTCCTCTCCTCTCCCACCCCAAAGGGTCAAGGCAAAGGAACTCCTTCCCTGTATGTTCAGAATGCCAGCCAACCCCTGAGCTGCATGTGGCAGCAGACGCAGTGACAGGAGAGAATGCATCCGAATGTCAATGGAACTTGGAAACCAATTGAGAATTTCCTGCACAGCCCAGTAAGTAATACATTGCTGGAAAATGAACACTCCGTTAACAGACCGCTTTAATATGCTAATAAATGGCTGGTTAAGTGAATGGATGCTCTTATTCTAAATTCTTCCACCTCTCCACATGCAGAACCCGTATCTGTTGCCACACAGTAATATTTACAGGTTGCTAAGAGTTTCCTCAAAGCCTGGACCCTTTCCACACTCCGGCAGAGTGCTGTGTGGCTCACACTAAGCCAGTCCTTCTGTGGCAGCACCCTTGACTTCTTACTGTGTGGCACGGAGCCCATAAGTGTTATATAAGCATTTGGCCTAGAGCTGCAAACCAGCAAAACAAAACCAAACCCAACCCCTAACACGGAGCCAATATTGCAGCAAAAAGCCAGAGGCCATCTGCCTCCAAACAAGGCCGAGGGAATTTAATTCCACAGCCAGCCAGAGAGAAGTGAGACTGAGAAGTAAGAGGAGAAGGTCTTCCTAGAAAGTAGCAGTGGAACAGCCAAAAGCTTTCTGTAAGGATCAGCAGCATTCTGTGACCCTCCCCTATTTCAGACCTTGCAAGGCTACAGTGCATACCTGGGTAGCTTTGTCATTCATGCATGAAGCAAGTGTCCCATCAGCATCCCTCGGCCACTGTCCTAGGAGGTACGATCCGAGGATGGTGTCTAGCGAAGAGGTGCGTCTCACTCGGGGGGCTCTGGTCCGGCAGGTCTTTTCACCAGCAGCACATGGAACACTCGCTAGAAGGAAAAGGTAGAAAAATTAAGTCTCTGTCCATAACTAAGTGCTTTAAATGTCTTCCATTTGATACCCTGCGACCAAGTGAAAACCCATTTCGGGGATGATTGAACGCAACCAGAATGTGCAGCTAGAGAAAGAGAAATCAGTTCAGTTACCGGAAGCAGCAAGAGAAGCCCTAATTAATCCACTGCACATACCCCATTATAGTAGCACAAATAGACTCAGACTTTAAGGTCAGAAGGGACCATTATGATCATCTAGTCTGACCCCCTGCACAGTGCAGGACACAGAATCTCACCCACCCACTGCTAGAATAATCCTCTCATCTATTTCTCAGATACTGAAGCCTTCAAATACTTTGAAGACCCCAAGATGCAGATAATCCTCCAGCTGTGATGTGATCTGTACCCCATGCTACAGAGGAAGGCGAAAAATGTTATGCTCTCCCTTGCCATCTCCCAGCCTGAATTGAGACCATGATGGAAGTCCTGTTAATCAACTGTCAGGAGTCCCAGGGTTGTTGGCTAGCTGGTCCAGAGAAGGTAAGCCTGCCTAAATGCCTCCACGATGCAGATCTATGCTAATGTTTACCAAAGTAAGATTCTTTTCCCCATGCAGGAACTTCTCTCAGTGCTGAATTAGCTACTTGAAGCTGTGGATTAGAAATGCCAATTGAATTTAAGAATTCAAGGTAGCCCCAGGTCAAGGGCATACTGAAATACTTGGCGCATCTACAATACTTTTGCATTAATGCTGTACTGTGCAAACAGCGAGTAAGCCTACATGGCAATGTTGCCTAATAGCCACAACACACAACTGAGTCAGAAAATCTGGGTTCTAATCTAAGATCGTGACACTGCACGCACGCTGGAGCCCATGCCTCAGTTTCTCTAAAGAGGAGCTAAATATTTACTTGCCTCACAGGAATGAATAGGGGCTTAATGAAAGCGGCAGGCAGCTTGGGTGAGTAATCACGAAAGGACTGAGTTCATGATTCCAAGGAATGGTAGAAAAGAGCACGGCAAAGTAAGGATGATGGATTTCAAGAAGGCAGACCGTAGTCAACTCAGAGCTGGTAGGTAAAGTCCCTTGGGAAGCAAGATTAAGTGGAAAAAAAAAATCAAAGACAGTTAACAGTTTTCCCAAGGGACATTAAGGGCGTTTGAGTCCACTATTCCAGTGCAAAGAGAAGACAGGAAGTATGGCAAGAAGCCACATTGGCTTACCCAGGAGAACTCAAAGTCAAAGAGGAGTCCTACAAGAAGTGGATACCAGGGCAAATGACAAAGGATGAATATAAACAAACACCGCAAGGATGTATGTGCAAAATTAGAAAGATGAAGGCACAAAAAGAGCTCCCTCTAGCTATAAACAAAGGGTAACAAGAAAACATTCTACAAATATATCAGAAGCGAGAGGAAGCCCAAAGACAGTATAGACCCATTACTCAATAAAGAGGGAAAAACAGAATATGTGAAAACGGAGGTGCCCAACGAGGGATGTTAAATATCAGTTAAGTAGTCGATCAACCTCATGAATTCTTATCGGCTACTTGACTATTCTATAGTCCCCAGGAGCGGGGGCAGCAGCCAGTGCGCTCCGGCCCCCCTCCCAAGGATACCCCTTCCCCCCCCACACACACACACTCCATGCTGCCACCAGAGGCAGCCGCATGGAGTGCCAAACCAGCTCCCTCTCACAGACCAGCTGCCTGTTGCCCCACAATGTTAACTGTGATCCAGACATAACAGCATGGGGTGGCAGCAGCCGCCGCCTAAGGGGACAGGTCTGAGCTCCCGGACCCGGCATGAGCAGGAACTGAGCTAGGCTGACTGCCCACCTGGCTCCTCGTACACTTTAAAATGCAGAGGTAGGTCCCAGACCAGACACAAGCTGTGACTGAGCTGTGCTTCTGGCCAGCCTGCTAAAAAATTTACTGGTGGGAGAATGCGTGTAGTCTATAGCATTAATCTATAAGCTTTTGCTTATCAGTTAATTGACTACACAATTGCATCCCTATTAACAACATCCGTGTTTCAGTTTTCACCAAGAAGGTTGATAGCAATTAGATGCCTTAAGGGAATACTGGAGAAAGAGAGGTAGGTTCAGAAGGTAAAATAAGAAAAGTTAAATGAGTTCAAGTGACCAGGGCCTTATGAAATGCACTCTAGAAACTCAAGGAGCTGACAGTGGTATCTGAGCCTTTAGTGATCACCTTCGGGAAGTCAAGAGAGATTCCAGAAGACTGGAAAAGGGCAAATCTAGTGCCCATCTAGAGAAAGGAAATAAGAACCACTCAGGAAGCTACAGACCAGTTAGTTTAACTTCCATGCCCAGGAAGATAATGGAGCAAGCAATGAGGTAATCCATCTGCAAACACCTGGAAAATAGTAAGGTGATGGGTAACAGCCAGTATGGCTTTGGAAGGAACAAATCATGTCAAACCAACCTGAGAGCTTTCTTTGATAGGATAAGGAGCCTTGTGGATAAGGGGGAAGTGGAACATGTGGTACACCTAGACTTTAGTAAAACGTTTGATGCAGTCTCGCCCGACCTTTTCATAATTAAACTAGGGCAATACACCGTGGATGGGACGACTATTCGGTGAATGCGTAACTGGCTGGATAACTCTCAGTCATGGTGGAAGGACCTAACAAGTGGGGTTCCGCAGGGATCAGTTTTGGAACCAGTTCTGTTCAGTATCTTCAGCAACGATTTAGATAACAGCACAGAGCAGAGGTGAGTGACCTGCAGCCCCCTAGGGTTCTGTACGAGGCCCATGAGACATTTTATCACTGCTCACTTGTAGGGTTGCTGGATGCTGCTGGGTTTCCTCTACAGTTTTTCCCTCCAGGTGTTACTACGGTGACACGCTTTAAGGAAGGATGTGTGAAATGCATGCTGACTGGACACGCTATAGTGAGCTGGACGCTCCCTCTGCATCCAATCGAAGCGCTGCTACAGTTCAAATGGCACATTGTGCAAATTCTAGGGACCCAAGCACAGGGAGCACTTACCCTGGGAGGCATCATGGTTACGACAATCTTGTAGCCCACTGAGCTGGAGGAGGGCGACTCATGCGGCCCACTTGCTAGCCTAGGTTGCCAGTCACTGGCAGAGAGGACACTTACAACGTTTGTGGACAATACCAAGCTGGGAGGCGTTGCAAGTGCTGTGGAGGATAGGATACCAAAAAGGGATCTAGACAAACTGGAGTAATGGCAAACAGGATGAAATTCATTAAGGACAAATGCAAAGTACTCCGCTTAGGAAGGAACAATCTGTTTCAGACAGACAAAATGAGAGGTGTCTGTCTAGGAAGGAGTACCGCACAAAGATCTAGGGGTCATAGTGGAACACAAGCTAAATGAGTCAACAGTGTGACACTTACAAAAAAAGTTCTGGGATGCATTAACAGGAGTGTTGTGAGCAAGACATGAGAAGTCATTCTTCCGCTCTACTCTGTGTGGATTAGGCCTCAACTGGAGCACTGCATTCGTTTTAGGAAATATGGAGAAACTGGAAAGGTCCAGAAAAGAGCAAACAAGTGATTTAAGTTCTAGAAAACATGCGCTATGAGGGAATTTGAAAGAACTGGGTTTGTTTAGTCAGAAAAAGACGACAGACGACATGAGGGCAGTTTTCAAGTATCTAAACAGGTCTTACAAGGAGGAGGGAGAAAAATTATTCTTCTTGACCTCTGAGGACAGGACAAGAAGCAATGGGCTTAAATTGCAGCCAGGGAGGTTTAGGTTGGACATTAGGAAAAACTTCCTGCCTGTCAGGGTGATTAAACACTGGAATAAATTGCCCAGGGAGGTTATGGAGTTCTGGAGATACTGACGAGCAGGTTGGATAGACACCTGTCAGGGATGTTCTAGCTGATGCTTGGCCCTGCCGTGAGGACAGGGGACTGGATGTGATGACCTCTCAAGGTCCTTTCCAGTTCTGGTGTTCTAGGATTGGAGGCACTTTGGTATCCTCCAATGGACGGTGTTCTGCAAGCACTAAAGGAGGTCAGTAAATACATCCCCCTATTTCGCAGAGCCACTATGAAGCAGAGAGGATAAGTGATTTGGTGAGTGTCACAGGCAGAACACTCAGAAGAGCCTGGTGCTCAGTTTCATTGCTTAGCCCGCTGGAGGGCGATTCAGTATTTTCACAACTGCCGCTTTATGAACAGAAAAGCTTCTGTCAACACCAGTGCAAGTTCATGTCAGTAACTGTGTGGGCAGACGTGCTCCCATTGCGTGCCAAAAGCTACGAGGACCGAACGCCAGACTGCTCTTGGCAGTGCACTGAACAGGGGGCATGTTACAGACAACCCCACCCCCAAGCACGTTGTGTGGGTGCGCTCCATGCGTTGCGTGACCAGCTAGCGTAGTCCCCCTTCTCCCTGGAACGGCAGGGCAATGACGAGCAGCAAGTGTTTACTGATGAAGGCAAACCAGCATTTTCTATTCTGTCAAGGAACATGCAAGCTCAAGCCAACGCTAGGGTTTGCTTGCAGTCAGTTTTGATTTGATTAAACATGTAAATTAATTTGCAAATTAAATTCAGCCCGAACGGCCTTGTGGCGGTGAGTCAATGAGGCCTTGGACAGCCCTCCATCAGGTGTTTTACATACCTAACTCTCCTCCTCCCCCATTCAGAACACCATGAGTAAGAAATCGTTTAGTGCTATTAGGTTTTAAAGTATAATTCAAGCCTATAAATATCTTTTAGAAACCACATGGTTCAATATACAAAGGCTTTGCTATCCTTGCCACATGGCAGTGCTCTGAAATGGCTGCCCTCTGATTACTAGCCTTTTGGCTCCCATACAGCCGCCTATCAACTAGATTTGTATCACCTACAAATAGCTGAAGTAATAAATTGAGTTTCAGGTGAGGAGGAACGGAAACAAAAAGCAACTTGTCCTAGAGGCCGATAGTATGGCTGGAAACGATTATTTAATATTGGTGCTGCAGCCGGGCCTACAGGCGCCCCAGTGGGACTG